CAGAATACTGCTGTATATTACTGTCTTGAGAGTCTATTTAGATTTACATACATATATTTCTGTTCTATGAGTCCCAACACTGACAGCCTGGAAAACTCACTGCAACCCTGCTTAGAATGTGTTTGGAGGCTGAGTAGAGTAGGTTGAGGGCTCATCATCAGAGTCAGAAACCCTGCCAGGGCTCTCTTCTAAGTGAGCTTCTATGAAGCACGTTCTTGGGTAGGCTGCCGATGCCATTCCCCAGGGCTTACTGTCCAACCCTCCTTCTCCACATCATCCCTGTTCTCCCTTTTCCAGCTGTCCTTCCCGCACAAGACGTTGCTGCTGGTGTGCTATGACCAAGAGGACTTGGACACGTGGCATCGGAATCTCACGGCTGCTATCAGGTAGGCAACCCCCACCCCCTTAAGAGAATAGAAGAGAGTAACTTTATTGTCATGGTACTATTGCACAAAGACATGAAATGCCTTCCCTAGCACACACCACAGAACAACACACCCATCCCTCCACACTCCCACCACCACAGCACAGCCCCCAAGGCCACATCAATGTGAAACCATGGAGTTCAATATAGTCCCAGCTCTAGGATAAAAGTTGTCTCTTGGTCTGTTTGTCCTTGCCTTTGTCACCATGTAGTGTATGCAAGATTATTACCCTGTACCTTTGTCACCCTGTACTGTATGGCTTCAAACTACAAGAGAGGAGATTCCATCTGAACATGAGGAAGAACTTCCTGACTGTGAGAGCCGTTCAGTAGTGGAACTCTCTGCCCTGGAGTGTGGTGGAGGCTCCTTCTTTGGAAGCTTTTAAACAGAGTCTGGATGGCCATCTGTCAGGGGTGCTTTGAATGCAATATTCCTGCTTCTTGGCAGAATGGGGTTGGACTGGATGGCCCAGGAGGTCTCTTCCAACTCTTTGATTCTATGATTTCATATCAAAAGCATTGTATAAATTAGAATAAAATTGATAAAAATAGAAAGAGCGCAGGCGACTAAATATCTTTTGACCAAAAATGGGCAACAGCAACAGCATTATAATAATAATAAAACATTTATTTATTTATTTACTTACTTACTTAAGGTAAAGGTAGTCCTCTGACATTAAGTCCAGTCATGTCTGACTCTGGGGTGTGGTGCTCATCTCCATTTCTAAGCCGAAGAGCCAGCGTTGTCTGTAGACACCTCCAAGGTCATGTGGTCGGCATGACTGCATGGAGCGCCGTTACCTTCCCACCGGAGTGGTACCTATTGATCTACTCACATTTGCATGTTTTCGAACTGCTAGGTTGGCAGAAGCTAGGGCTGACAGCGGAAGCTCATGCCGCTCCCCGGAATCGAACCTGCGACCTTTCGATCAACAAGCTCAACAGCTCAGTGCTTTAACCCACTGCGCCACCGGGGTTACAGTATTGATATTCTGCCCTTCTCACTCCGTAGGGGACTAGGGCGGATTACAATGTACACATATATGGCAAACATTCAATGCCAAAGACACACAACACATATAGACAGACAGTCAGAGGCTATTTAACTTTTTCTGGCTGCCAGGGGAGCTGTCACTTTTATCGTCCATCTGCGACACTGATGAAGTACTTCCGCATTCCCCGCATGCTTTGCTGGAGATTTTTATGGCCGCATACATTAGCTAAATTAGCCTCCTCACATATAAGTGGTACCTAATTTTCCTACTTGACAGATGCAACTGTCTTTCGGGTTGCAAACGTCAACAACAAGCTACACAATTGGTCGGAAGCTCACTCCGACCCAGGCTGGCTTCGAACTCATGATCTTTTTGGTCAGAAGTGATCTTAATGCAGCTGACACTCAGACAGCTGCGCCACAGTCCTGGTACTTTATTTATATACTGCTCTATCCCCCCAGGGAGACTCAGAGCAGTTTCCAAGTAACATCATCACTACATACAGAGTAAACAACATAACCATAAGATTAACAAAATAATATAAGCATAAAATTGGCAATGGCTCCCAAAGTGACCCATTTAAGGTGGAATCGGGTGTCAAACAGGGATGTGTTATTGCCCCAACTCTATTCTCCATCTTCATCGCTATGAGACTTCACCCTGTTGATGGGAAGCTTCCCACCGGAGTGGAAATCATCTCTCAGACAGATGGCAAGCTGTTTAACCTCAGCAGACTGAAAGCCAAAACCAAGGTTACAACAACATCTGTTATAGAACTCCAGTATGCTGATGACAATGTCGTCTGTGCGCATTCAGAAGAAGATCTACAAGCCACTCTAAACACCTTCGCAGAAGCATACGAGAAGCTCGGCCTGTCACTGAACATTGAGAAAACCAAGGTGCTTTTCCAGCAGGCACCAGCCAACCCCTCTCCAATGCCAGAGATACAGCTTAATGGTGTAACATTAGAAAATGTGGACCATTTGCGCTCCCTTGGCAGCCACCTCTCCACCAAAGTCAACATCGACGCCGAAATACAACACCGCCTGAGCTCTGCAAGCGCAGCATTTTCCCGAATGAAGCAGAAAGTGTTTGAGGACCGGGACATCCGTACGGATACCAAGGTGCTTGTCTATAAAGCTATTGTCCCCCCAACCCTGCTCTATGCCTGTGAAACGTGGACTGTCTACAGACGTCACATGAAACTCCTGGAACTATTCCATCAGCGCTGCCTCCGGAAAATCCTGCAAATCTCTTGGGAAGACAAGTGGACAAACGTCAGCGTGCTGGAAGAAGCAAAGACCACCAGCATCGAAGCGATGGTCCTCCAACATCAACTCCGCTGGGCCGGCCACGATGTCCAGATGCCTGACCACCGTCTCCCAAACCAGTTGCTCTACTCTGAACTCAAGAATGGAAAACGGAACATTGGTGGGCAGGAAAAGAGATTTAAAGATGGCCTCAAAGCCAACCTTAAAAACTCTGGCATAGACACTGAGAACTGGGAAGCCCTGGCCCTTGAGCGCTCCAGCTGGAGGTCAGCTGTGACCAGCAGTGCTGCAGAATTCGAGGAGGCACGAGTGGAGGGTGAAAGAGAGAAACGTGCCAAGAGGAAGGCGCGTCCGAGTCTGCCTTCCCCGACCGAGACTGACCGAGACCGCCTTCCAACTGGAAACCAATGCCTTCACTGTGGGAGAAGGTGCGGGTCAAGAATAGGGCTCCACAGCCACCTACGAATCCACAAGGAAACCCATCATGGAAGACCATCTTACTCATCCAACAAGGGATCGCTTAAGTAAGTAAGTTAGTAAACTGAGTTTTCTTTTGTAACGTAAGCTTCCAGAGTCCTTATGTGACAAAGCAGTGTCTGTCAGATCTAGCATTCCTTCCATCAAGCTGCGCCTCAGCTTGACAGAAATGACATGGATAAGACAGGAACAAACATAGCGGTGCATAGTGTAATCCAGTTCTTCCTCTGACTCCTCTCTTCACTGGCAGGAAGCTGCAGCCCAGCATCACACGAGGCCACTGAACTGGATGCGGAGAGACCCACAGGGAGACCTTGCGTGAACCACCCATGCTACTTTGGTCTATGTGGATATCGGACTGTGACAGCCAAGCCAAGGCCATCCCTTGGCCTCCTGACTCTCATGAAGAACATGAGGGACATCCACCATGTCTTTGCTGCCTATCTGCTGAATCCAGACTCACACCAAGGGTCAAAATCTGGTCCTTGCTTATCCATCGGCACATGCAACTGGGGGACCCACCTGTGAACTTGGTCTGCTCGACGTCGTTCCTCTCAGCCCTTGTTCTGTGGCTTCCTTGGCTGTGTCTATCTATCCCAGGCCGGGGCCAACTTCGGTCCTCCCTCCAGGTGTTTTGGACTTCAACTCCCACAATTCCTAACAGCCGGTAGCCTGTTAGGAA